ACAGATAATTGGTGCTATCTTAGAGATTATCTGCTACAGGTACCATTTTTATTCCTATTTAGAAAAGAAGCAACTGAAGTAGTTAAGTTACTTGCCCAAGATTATATCATTGCAAGTAATGGGGCTAATCCCTAACTTAGGCTGTCTGTCTGACTCCACAGCCTGGGCTCTTCTTTACCATTATATTTTAAGGAGTGAGAAATGGCTGCAGCTTTGCAGACTTTCTTTTGTTATTTTGTTTGTTTTTTGTTGGCTGGCTGGTAAGGGATCCGAACCCTTGACCTCGGTGTTATACAACACATGCTCTACCTGACTAAGCTAACCAGCCAGCCCCTCATTGCTGACTTTTGTTTGATGTCTTTTAATGGCGTGATGTAGGTTGAGGTCATATGGTTGTGGTTTCTGTGAATGTGCAAGTAGGGAGAAAGATTGAGTAGTGACTACTCTTAAAAATGGTGGTTTTGAAAGGAAGAAGAGAACAACAACCATATGTTGTTATGTAATGAATTGTTTCTCTCTAATAATTCAGAAATTTTTCTTTTCTAGTTCTATGAGTTTAACCATCAATGCCATTCAGTTGCCAATATCAAGCAAAGCAAACATAAGCCAGTTTTAATCTGCTTTTTAAGAAAAGTGGTCATCCTTTTCACAGTGCCTGATGGTAAGTCACAGTTCCTACCTTTATAAGAGTTTTTGATCTAATGCATTTGAAATATATATGTCCTTGTTTTATAGATGAGGAAGCTTTATTTTATAGATGAAGTCTCAGGTTGGAAAAGGTAATGGCAGAGTTGTTTAAAATGTTCTAATTTCCAGACCTGTGCACTTCCTACTATTGCACAAGGTGATATAACTATTAGGGCCAGAGTTTCTTACAGAGCATTTCTAGCTTAGTATGGAGGTGAAGCACCGATAAGAGGCAGCTGGTGAAAAGGATTGGGACTCATTTCCCCTAACTTTTAAGTATTGGCTACTATTATTTGCTACTGGTAAGTTTAATCTTAAGACATCTATATTTTGTCGTAAGGAAGAACTTTTGGGGGTAAGAAGATGTTTGACCGAATATTTTATTCTTAATGTAAAAAACAGTGTGAAATATACACATATCAACGTTAGTTCAAACTGCTGGCCTCTTTCTTTCTGAAAACGTATATTTTTTTATGGTAGGACAGTTAATCTCAATATTATTATTTTTTTGAAAGCATCGTTATGCTTTTCTTTTTACTAATCTCATTACTGTTTATTTTTTTCAAGCATCAAGTTTACCAGATTGTTCAGTTAGCCATCTTAGACATTAGAACCCTTTTTGTTGTTGTTGTTGTTATTTATATGGTATGACTGTGCTGTGTCTTAATAATAATGAAGGTATTGGCACTTGTAGTTGTGTTTGTAAAGTTGATCACTTTTTTTGTTTCTTTTATCTTTTAGTAACCACATCAGAGGGTGAGGTATAATAAGCTCACAGTATCCAGAGAAATCATCATGAAGTTATATGTGTTTCTGGTCAACACCGGAACTACTCTAACATTTGACACTGAACTTACAGTGCAAACATGAGCTGTATTTTATTTATTATCTTTAGTTTTGCATTTTGCGTGCATGCAAAAACTTAAAAAAATATTTGATTTTGAGAAAACTATTCCACTGGTAAAGAGTAGCAATACGGCATGTCTTAAATCTTTTATCCCAATACATTACATAAATAAACAAACTGATTTCAAATTGAAGCTATTGTTTTAAGTACCTGTAAGCAATTGGTATT